ACATAACTTTAAAAATCGCAAATAACTTTAAAATCAAGTATTTGCTTTTTTAAAATACTTATACCATGTTTACATTGTGTGATTAAAAGTAGATTACAGTCATAAACGAATACGGCGTTTACATTATGTGATTAAAAGTAGATTAAGGCAAAAGTAAAGATTCCGCATACAAAAGTTAATCTCCTTTTGGTCGCGATTAATTTTAAATCAACTTAGAAATGGTGATTATTTCTCTGCAACTCTGCAAATATCTTAATGTTGTAGATTTTTTTACGATCTTAGAAAAATGTCTTAATATCGTAGATTTTTTTTCGATCTTAAGGAGAAATGTCAAAATCAATTTAAAACTAACATTGAAAATTGGTTTAATAATAGTTTTATACATAATTATAACTAAAATTTGTTAAATTATTGTAATAAAACTATTTTTTTAATATATTACACACAAAATTGTAATTAAATGCTTTATTTACAAAAATTTGTCAAACACCAAAATACAATAAGAGAAGCATCAAAATTAATCTTCAATGTAAACGGAAGAGATTAAAAATGCAGATTAATTCAATATCGTTCTCTTAATCTCACAATGTAAAGTACAAATGCAGTTATTTAGGACGTGTGCGAGTTAGGCTAAGTTGCGATCTAAATGAGGGAAATTCTAAGTTGTGCCGATAATGTAGTGATATGTCGATACGTGTCGATAGATGGCTAAATGTGTGCAGTGCAAAAATTCTCCCATTTGGTTTAGCATCAACTTAGCCTAACTCATACACGTCCTTAATTACAGATTTCCCATTCTAATATGGTCGATAGCAATTTATTTAAATATTTTTGATTTTATTTAAAGTATTTAAGAAATGAAAAAAAATCCCTCAAGTTTGACAAAAAAATAAATACTTAAAACCAATTTTGCTCAATACCATTAATTGCAAATATGTGTGTATATATGTAATATCTATAAAATTTTATTTTTTTGTTTCCCTCTTTTTAAACACAGCAGACTCCCCCCGTTATAATATATGAACTCAGAAAAATATGTAGTAAATATCTTTCTACCACACTTTTTCTCCACATCTCTACCGAAACTTGGCAGCACTAAGGCAATCACAATCATTTGTTGTTTGAATACACGTGCATTGCGATTTTAGCGGAAAGTTAAATTATTTATAAATAAATATATAATTAAAGTTATTATGGCAAAAAAGGCTGCGAAAAGAAAAGGAAATGCTGATAATACAAATTTAAAAGAATCAAATAAAACAGAGCAAATACAGTCAGAAGATGAAAACGCAAGCGAAGATGTAAGTTAATTTTTGCATTTAGGAAATTATTTTCATTTATTAAAATATAAAATATTATAGGATTTATTGCAAAAATTTGAAAATATGGATGCAGATAGTTCAGATGATGAGGGTATCGAACAAAACCATAATTCCGATGATAGTGACGAGTTAGAATTTGAAAGTGATGATGAAGGTAATTATATGTCAAAAAACAAAACAGAGGCGCAAGAAGAATCCTCTAGTGAGGATGATATCGATGAGGCAGACATTGAAGATGTTTCCAGTGATGACAATAATACAGAAGAAGATGAAGACAACAGTTCAGCAATAAATGAAGAAAACTCTAATGAAAGTGATAATAATTTAAATGATCTAAAATCAGCTGCTGATGCGGATAGTGATAATGATGAACCTGTTGCTGTGTCTAAAAAAGAAAAAAGCAATTTAAAACAGAAAGAAAAACAACAGCAACAAAAACAGCAAAAGAAGAAGAAGACTAAAGCTGTTAAAAATGCTAATCATCCATCAACGAGTAATAGCACAGAAATTGAAAGCAGTGAGACAACCATTGGCACTACAACAACTTCGCAATTGCCTCCAATAGTTCAACGAATATTACCAGAATATGAGAATTCAGATACCTCTGATGAAGAAGATATACGCAACACGGTAGGTAATATACCAATGCATTGGTATGATGAGTACAAACACATCGGTTATGACTGGGATGGCAGGAAAATAGTGAAACCGCCAAAAGGTGATCAAATTGATGACTTCTTACGTAAAATTGAAGATCCAAACTTTTGGCGCACTGTCAAAGATCCACAAACTGGACAAGAAGTGTTGCTTACAGATGCTGATATTGACCTGATAAAGCGTATCAATTCAGCACGTGTGCCAAATCCAGAACACAATGAATATGAACCTTGGATCGAGTGGTTTACGTCTGAAGTGGAACGTATGCCTATTAAAAATGTGCCCGATCACAAACGTTCGTTTTTGCCATCGGTATCAGAGAAGAAAAAAGTTTCACGCATGGTGCATGCTCTAAAAATGGGTTGGATGAAAACTACTGAGGAAGTAGAACGTGAAAAACAAGCGAAACGTGGTCCTAAATTCTATATGTTATGGGAAACTGATACTGGTCGTGAGCATATGCGTCGCATACATGACCCAGTTTCTGCGCCGAAACGTGATTTACCTGGACATGCTGAATCTTACAATCCACCTCCAGAATATCTTTTCGATGAAAAGGAACAAAAAGAATGGTTAAAATTGAGAGATGAACCACATAAACGTAAATTGCATTTTATGCCACAAAAATATACTTCATTGCGTGCAGTGCCCGCATATCCACGTTATTTACGTGAACGTTTCCTACGTTGTTTGGACTTGTATCTGTGTCCGCGTGCTAAGCGTATGAAGTTGAGTATTGATGCTGAATATTTGATACCTAAATTACCATCACCAAAAGATCTGCAACCATTTCCGACAGTCGAGAGTATGGTATATCGTGGTCATACCGATTTGGTGCGTTCGATCAGTGTGGAACCGAAGGGAGAGTATATTGTATCGGGTTGCGATGACAAAACTGTTAAAAGTAGGTTTGAAAATTTTATTTGTTTAAATATAAAATTAATTAAATTATAATTTTAGTTTGGGAAATTGCAACTGGACGTTGCATACGCACCATTCAAACTGAAGATGTTGTACGTTGCGTGGCTTGGTGTCCCAATGCCAAGTTATCAATTATCGCCGTTGCTACTGGTAATCGTTTGTTACTTATTAATCCCAAAGTCGGTGACAATTTGATTGTTAAAAAAACTGATGATCTACTAAGTGAAGAGCCGAAAAATGAACAATTGGAATCTGAGCGTATTAAAAATGCCGTACAATGGGCAACAGCTGATTCAGCTGAACAAGAAAAAGGTGTACGTGTGGTTATAACACATTTTAAACCTATAAGACAAGTCACTTGGCATGGACGTGGTGATTATCTAGCTACAGTTATGCCCGAAGGTGCTAATCGCTCTGCTATCATACATCAGTTATCAAAGAGGCGATCTCAAATACCATTTTCGAAGAGTAAAGGTCTTATACAGTGTGTACTTTTCCATCCCATCAAGCCTTGTTTGTTTGTGGCTGTAAGTTTTTTTCTTTTACTCATTCCAAAAAAAAGTTATTTTGAGTATATTTTTTAATTATAGACTCAACATAATATACGCATATATGACTTAGTCAAGCAAGAACTGGTCAAGAAATTACTTACCAATTCAAAATGGATATCAGGCATGAGCATACATCCTAAAGGCGACAACTTGCTTGTCTCAACGTATGATAAGAAAATGCTTTGGTTTGATTTGGATCTATCTACTAAACCCTATCAAACTATGCGTTTGCATAAAAACGCTGTACGTAGTGTCGCTTTCCATTTACGTTATCCACTATTTGCTTCTGCTAGTGACGATCAATCGGTCATTGTATCACATGGCATGGTCTATAAGTACGTATTATTAACTAAAAGTTATTGTAAAATGTTTATTGATTTTTTGTATTTATTTTTAGTGATTTGTTACAAAATCCATTGATTGTGCCATTGAAAAAACTACAAACACACGAAAAGAGAGAAGAATTTGGTGTACTTGATGTTGTGTGGCATCCAGTTCAACCTTGGGTATTCTCTACTGGTGCCGATGCTACAATTAGATTGTATACATAAAGTGAAGATGTGAAGGGCTTAGTGTAGCATTATATATGTTTTAGCATATAAGTTAGTATATCCAAAAGAAAACTAGTTAAAAATTAATTCCGGATACTTTAATTCATCTAATTTCAACTGTAATTTGTTTATGCTCGTTGTAAATGTAGCAGGGCTGTGAACCAGACGAGAACTGAATGGTTTTGAACCGGAACTTTCAAACTACGAGTATAAATGAAACAAACTACGCACCGTACCAATGTTGCTTTACAAATTATGCTTAAAATCACTGTTGCTAAAAGTTTTTCAATTGAACTGAAATAAAGAAGTATCGATTTACTAAATCGAACTACTTCAGCAATATGTGCGATTCACGGCTCTGAAGTTTAGCACTTCTAACAGCTACTGTTTGCTTATATTGAGTTTATGGAAAACATGAGAGCCAGTATAAATAAAACTAAAATGCAACATATTTGAATTCTAGCAATGTTAATATAACAAATCAATTGTCAATAAAAAGTAACTAAAACTGTATATATTCAAATTCCTTTTATAAACAAATTGTAATGGCTTTATAAGAAGATATTTGTTTTAAAGATAACAAAACTATATATTTCTGTTTAAAATTTATTCTGACCTCCATTTCTTTTGTTAAAACTTTTTAAAAATACATGTATGTATAATAAAAAATATAATAATTTAAATATTGTCGCATATCTTTTTCTATAGAAAAATCATAAAACTTATTTGCATTCTTTATTTAATAATAATTTATTGTGTGCTTTATGAAAGTATATGTATAAGGTAGCTGGACTTTAATAATGAATATCCAGGAGTGGGCGACTCTACGTGCAGGATTCACTGTATACCCAGATAAGCAAGTAACACTCGCTTCTCTCAATAAGGTAATATATATAGGTAAAATAAAGTAATGAAACAAACTGAGAACCAAAGGTGATTTAATTGCTTTTATCCTTCGAATTTAATTTTTGTTATTAAAACTAATGATTTATTTTCTGTGATTTATTTTCTTCGATAATTTGATTTAACTTTCCCACGTTCTACTTAGTATTGGCATCACTTCTCATGAAAAGATATTCCAATATTTGGAAAAAAAAAAAAATTAATGTTTATTAAAACAACTAACATTTAACATTGGTTAAATTCACATTTTAAGCTAAAACATAAGTTTAGTTTTAATATTTGATATACTCAGATCTACTACAGAAAACCCTTTTTCACTGTTTAAGTCATGTTTCAACTGTATCATTTTAAATATTATTTTATTAACATTGTAATGCAAGTGTCAATAGCAGTCTCCACATTATAAAAAGACTTTTTTGAAGCAAATAAGAATTATAATTCTTCAATATTAAGATTTTAAATTAAACAAAATACTTAATTAAATTGTGTTCTTAAAAATCCATTATAGAAGTTTTTAAAATATTTATGTGAAAAAATTAATTTAAATTTAAATATTTAATTAATCACAAATTAAAATTGTATATGACAACAGTATCAAAATAAAAGGAGGTTTGAACTCTCAATTTTGATTCCAAAATTGATAAATGAAATTTTATATTGGATATAACGCGGAGTGAATTAAAGAATAGGATATCCATAAGCTTAAGTCTGTATTAGACTAAACAATAATAAGAGGTGTTTTGGTATTTCTTTTTTTTAAGCGCAGGTAAACACGATTTACAAGAGTTTTGGGTAGAGCAGGCTCAACCTAGATTTATGTTGTCCTCCATAGTCTAGTGTCCAATAAGAACCAATACAATTTTAGATTCTGCAAACTTATTTCTGTGAATTGTCAGAGATTATATGTATTGAGCATATAGACCATATCGCTTTTAATCTGGCTGCTGAAAATTAAACCAAAACATGTTAGTTTGCCGCAAAAAGTTATCACATGTTAATATCGTCTTTTTCTTTGTTAAATTTTTTTTTGTTCTGAAAACATCAGTCACTGATATTCTTTCATATCAAAAATTATATGCGATTTTTATGTATTTTTATATTTTTATGTATTTATATATGTATAACTTTTTAAATTCGGACACTTTAGCAATTCAATTAAAAACAATGTAAATTATCTATCACGAAACCAATTATCGCATCTATAGTAATGAAAATCTACAAATAACTACCAAAAGACCTCTGGAAAAGTCACTACATTTTATGGCATTTAGACTGTAGTTAGTACATTTACTTTCAAATCTTCAATTCTCTTCGATATAGTCATACGATTATCAGTTTTTTTGCCATGAGCTTAGAAATATATGGAATATGGAATATATGTTGGGTCACTGTTGTTCCCCTGTGTTAAAATGCCAGTTTATTGGCATTATTGTTTAGTAAATCTAGATTGAATCTAGATTCCTGCACAATCTGTCAGATTTTGTTACCTAATCGAATATTTTTAGAGTAATCTAATATTTTTGTAATTGTTAGTAGGTATTTAAATTTTTTATATATACATCTATACCTCGCAATCGTATTTCTGGCAAGCGCTGTCGAGTCATAACTGAATTTTTGTTTCTAAAATTTGATCAGTTAAATATCGACGACATTTCGTTCCAACAAGATGCAAGACGACGCAACTTGTCATACAGCGAGTTCAACAATTTGATCAGAACCTTATTTCCAAAAGTGGTTCTATTAACTGGTCTGTTAACCCCCTCATTCGTGCGGTTTACTCGTTCTCGATCATTTTTTATGGGACTATGTTAAGTCATTGGTTTATGCATCAACTCTTGAAGCATTGGAAACCAATATTCATGCCACCATTAACGCCATGAACTAAAATATTGGATTGATCGAATGGATCATGTAACTCGTAGCCGCGGCGGACATATGTCGGACTTTTTTAGTACTCATGCTGCTAATAAGTCAACCGATTCGTTGTAAAAATTTTAATTATAAATATCATAATCTTTGAAATATTTTTTACCAAATTTTATTTATTATAAGACATATCTCTGCTCAAAAAGTATCAAAAATTCTTCTTGTTGTTTGTTAACTACTCCTTAAGTAATAGACCTTTTTCAAAATTTTTTTTTTGTTATGTTGGTACACCCTTTCTTGACATATTGATCCGTGCGACTTTTTCCTGTTCCCGAAACTCAAATTGCCCCTTCGTGGTAAGCGTTTTGAGTCGAATTCGCTGAAGGAACTAAAAGCCATACCTTCACGGGCCTACGAAAAGTGTATGGAAGATTGGGTTAAGCGTTGGCATATGTGTATCGCTTCAGAAGGAGCATATTTTGAAGGAGATACAATAAATTTGGATTAAAATTTGAATTTGTGTGTTTTATTTACAAAATCCGAGTACTTTTTGAACAGAAGGTACTATATATATTAAAATACAGTAAAAGTTCTATTAAAGAATGCTTCCAATTAACGGAAAAATCTCTTCACCATTCAAAATATTCATATTTTATATAAAGTCCGTTCTTTTAAACAGTTAGTTCTCTTATTCTGATAAAATTGGTGGCTTCTTTGTTGACCGCTTAAGAGAGCTTTTCGTGCATATATTATATATTAAAATCTTTGATACAGTGAAAGCACTGAAGTCAAATATAGGTAATGAACAACTCACTACATCATACAAAATATTCGCATTCTATATAAAGTTCGTTCTTTTAAACAGTTAGTTCTCTTATTCTGATAAAATTGGAGGCTTCTTTGTTGACCGCTTAAGAGAGCTTTTCATGCATTTATTATATATTATCTACATATTTTGATTGTTTTAGTCTTTTGAGCAACCAGTTAATCACCGTTATCAAAGTAATACCGTTTTTTATTTTTTAAACAATTTTTGCTTAAAAAAATTTAAACATTTGAAAGTTATTTTCATCAACTTTCTTTGTGTAGGTCCCCCCACGAATACATTAGATCTGGAAAAAGGTTCTGCGGGTAATTATGCTCCCGCTTTATTCGGTACAGACTGTCGGAGAGCTTTTTTTTGCTAAAAAAGCTTCGCTAAAAATGCGAGAACATTTTGTTTCGATTTTGAAAAGCTTTCGCATGCGTTTATTGTTTTTATTATAGAAAGAAATTTTTGGGAGTACTTCACTGGAATCGCCCATAAAGCTGGCACCTTGCTTTAGTTAAATTTTCTGTTTCACAACTAAACGGTTGGGTATTGACTAATGCAAGCAAAAGCTGCTGTTCGGACGAACGCTACTGAAGAAAAGAAAAAATTTAATGTAAAAGAAAAAATTTAAAATTTTGTAACATATTCTAGTTGAATGAAAAAACCAAATATAACACATTTAACTACAAATAAAATGTATGAATTTATTTTGTATTGTTTATGGAAAAAATTTAAACAATTTACCATAAAATAGTGTGTTAAGTACAAAATTTTAGTGATAAACGAATAGTGAGCCACTATCTTTCTTTCTTCTCCGCTAGAACGGGGGGAAAAATTGTGTACACATATTTGACTAATATGAAGAAGTTGATTAAGTTTTTGATTAAAAATAAATAAATGAGTAAATAATTAAAAAGAAGAATTAATCATATAAAATCCTTGAATTTATTTTTTTTTTTTCAATTCAAAAAAAATTTTTTTTTTATTTCCATTTTATGTACAATAATTTTTTTACCATATTTACACTGAAAAAAAAATATGTGTATGTAATAGAATTGTTTATTTAATTGAAAAAATTTTTTGTGATTAGTTAAGTGTTTTTTTTTTGCCCAAATCGAATCGAATCGATTGTAAAAATGTGATTTTTTAAATGATTTTTTGTGTATGTACATATATTTATGGAATTTTGGTAGAGGAAAAGACTTTCGATTGAATTAATTGCCACTGCGGTGCGTTGGCTTTGAGCTGCGCGGAATATGGAAGATGTGTGTACACTACCGCGCCACCACTTCATCATAAACACACTGATGTGTACACATCGGACAGATGTAGATAATTATTAGTTAGACAAATGTTAAACACTATAAGTTCAAATAATTATTTGAACTTACAGTTATCAATGATGTTATTGTGGGTTTAAGAGTTTCTTTTTCTACTTTTCTGAAATTCAGATACATAAAAATTAAGAAAAATTCAAAATAGTATCTTATGATTTGCAAACTAGAATATCAAATAATAGTTTTGCACAGCTGAGATTACAGAGTTACTCTCAGCAAATGCTTTTGAAAACAATCCAAACTCATACCTTAAGAGTTTGCGATACAACTGAAAATTCTTCTATGTGAAATTCTTCCAGTAATAGCATGGTTACTGCCAGATACATTGTACAGTGAAAAGATAGCAAATTGTTTTTCCTTTGATTTCAATACTCATTTTCATTACAGATAAAACAATATTAAATATAAATATAAATAAAATAGAAAATGAAGTGATGATGCGCATGTTAATTAGTTTCTATTTGAAAGGTACGTGAAATGTGTGAATAGTGCATCTTAAAATATTTGCCTAAAAGAAATAAATAAATAATTTAATAAAACAAAAAACAAAACAAATTAGCAAATACAATAAACAAAAAAATTAAGCAAACAAAAAAAAAATAAATAAAACAAAAATTAAAAACAAATT